CTTTAAAGTGCACACAGTGTGCCCAAGGTTACTGCTTAGATGCCAGAATCCAGTTATCTACTGAGTTCAGATGTCCAAGAGTTCAAGAGTATGTCCAGAGGCCTGGCTGTTGTAGGAGAAAATATAAATTAGAAATAAGAGACTTTATTACTCTGTTTCCTGAAAATAAGGGAGAATATTTTGCTCTTCTCTGTTTTCTTAAAGCATTTAGATTATATGTAGATATTTTTCTGCTTTTTTGAAATGTATGTAAATCATATGAACAGCTAAATCCTTTTTTTTCTTTTTGACTCAGGGTTCATTTTAGTTTTTTTTTTTTTTTTTTTTTTTAGACAGTCTCGCTCTGTGTCACCCAGGCTGGAGTGCAGTGGTGTGATCTTGGCTCACTGCAACCTCCGCCTCGTGGGTTCATGCGATTCTGTTGTTTTAGCCTCCCGAGTAGCTGGGACTACAGGTGTACACCACCATGCCCAGCTAATATTTGTATTTTTAGTAGAGATGAGGTTTCGCCCTGTTGGCCAGGCTGGTCTCGAACTCCTGACCTCAGGTGTTCCACCCACCTGCCTTGACCTCCCAAAGTGCTAGGATTACAGGCCTGAGCCACCGCACCCGGCCAGCAACTTGTTTTCTATTCCTGCAGATGCAGTGGTTGTTTCACAAATCACAAAAAAACTAAATATAAACACAATAAAAATTCCTTTAAACTACATTGAAATTTTCCTTTCTGTGTCTCTCTCATCTGTCTGTATTTTGTTTTTATTCTGTACATTTTAAAAAAAAATCAATGACAGAGAAACAGAAGAAGAAATAAAAATACTGGGTCCTTCATCTAAATCCTGGGAATTACTGAACATTTAGTGCTAGCTCCCAGGGTGTTATGAGGATTCAATCACATAATGTGTTATTCCCAGTGAAGTGCTGTGTAACATACTCTTGAGAGTGAGAATACAGTGAACGCAGTGTCTGCTTAATAAACATTGCAGTGTACATGTGTATGTGCTGTTTTCCAAATGCAGACTTATTCAGACATTGCTGCCTTCTATTTCATCTGTAAACTTTAAAGAGACAGCAAAGAAGATACTTTAGGGTGGAGATGGATTGTCTTCATTTGTGTTGTGACAAGAGTGCTGAGTATAAGCTACACTTTGCTGTGCCTGCTTCCTCTAACTAGTGCTAATAATGAGCCTAAGGGGGGCAACATCAGCATTGACAAGGACTTGTTTAAAACTCTCATTCATGGTCCCTTTCCAAACCTGCAGAATCACATTACATAGAGTGGGGCCAAAATCACCAAGTGATTTATAAGCTTGTTAAAGTCTGAGAAGCAATGCTTAGTTAAGTGGTTATCAACTCAGGCTTCTAATGAGGATGACATGGCCAATTTGCAGAAATCTTTTTACTCGTGCCCTTTCCGCAAGTTCTGTTTAATGCCCTTGGTGGAAGCATCCATGTTGTTTTAATTATTAGATTGGTACAAAAGTAATTGTTGTTTTCGCCTTTTGTGTTTTTGAGACAGATTTTTGCTGTCGCCCAGGCTGGAGTGCAATGGCTTGATCTTGTCTCACTTCAACCTCCGCCTCCTGGGTTCAAGCAATTCTTCTGCCTCAGCCTACCCAGTAGCTGGGATTACAGGGATGCACCACAATGTCCTGGTAATTTTTTTTTTTTTTTTTTTTTTAAAGTAGAGATGGGATTTGGCCATGTTGGTCAGGCTGGTTTGAACTCCTGACCTCAGGTGATCCACTCGCCTTGGCCTCCCAAAGTGCTGGGATTATAGGCATGAACCACTGCACCTGGTCTGCTTCTGCTGTTAAAAAAACAAACAAATGAACAACTATTATTATTACTTATTATTTTTATTTCTTTTTCCTTGCTATTAAAAAGAAATTGGCAGCAACAACAATTACTTTCACACCAACCTAATGAGTGCCTCAGGTGATTCTAGAGTGAGAACAGAATCAGCTATGAGGGGTTCAAAATACATTCATAAGAATTAATTTCTGCCTTTGTACTAAAGGGTGGTCACAGGGCCAGTTCTGTTTGAATTTGGTAGGAACAGGACAGTGCAGCCCATACTGCCATTACTGTAACAGAAATTGCTGGTGTCTGTGGCAAGGGAGGGTACCTGAGAACAGAGAAAGAGAAACTTTATTTTTATCTCTGTGGAGCAGCTCATTGTTCCTGAATCTTTGCTGTTATAAAGAACAGAAATGGGTGGACTTTATCTGTTTTGGACTTTTTCTTGTCATCTGCCTGTAGGTGTGGTGCTAGCAGGTAAACAGGTGGTGCTGACACTTCAAAGGCATATTCTCAAGATGCAGGTGTAATTTGTCCAGAGAATCTCATCTGAGAAGGAATCCCAGAGAAGGAGGAGAAAAGAGGAAAAAATGGCCTTTTTTTTCTTAGCTAAACATGTCTCAGATCATGCCCACTCTTCCTCCTGGAATGCCGTGCGTTTAGTACTTGTGAACCTTTGCTTCTCTACTTGCAGTTTTCTTCCCAAATAAGTTTATTTTAAGTACTTTAAAAAGTTCTTATGATAGTCAAGGGTCTCTGAAAAATACTCCTTTCCTATATACCAGAGCCTATTGTACTTTCTCTACATCGTGGCTTCTTATATTCCATGCAGAATTCTCACCATGAATTTGCGATATGCAACATTAAAAATGTTTCCTTTGTGGCTGTGGATACTCAAAATTCCTGTTGGGGAAAAGCTGGTGCCGAGACCAGCTTGGTTGGGGGGACCCTAACCCAGCGGCGCTAGAGGAATTAAAGACACACACACAGAAATATAGAGGTGTGGAGTGGAAAATCAGGGGTCTCACAGCCTTCACAGCTTAGAGCCTCAAACAGAGATGTACCCATGTATTTATTGACAGCAAGCCAGTGATAAGCATTGTTTCTATAGATTATAGATTAACTAAAAGTATTCCTTATGGGAAATAAAGGGATGGGTTGAAATAAAGGGATGAGTTGGGCTAGTTACCTGCAGCAGGAGCACATCCTTAAGGCACAGATCACTCATGCCATTGTTTGTGGTTTAAGAACTCCCTTAAGCGGTTTTCCGCCCTGGGTGGGCCAGATATTCATTCCGGTAAACCCACAACCTTCCAGCGTGGGCGTCATGGCCATCCTGAACATGTCACAGTGCTGCAGAGATTTTGTTTATGGCCAGTTTATGGCCAGATTTTGGGGGGCCTGTTCCCAACAAGCTGGGGTCATTTGTAAATATGGAGAACATGTAATGTTGGGGCTCCATTTGTGTTCTCCATTAGCTCTATGCAAAACAGAATTAACAAAATGCTTATTTAAACAGGATAACATTTATTACCCAAAAAGTTCTAAAAATAAATTTACTCAGAGATGGCCAAACATGGTGGCTCACGCCTGTAACCCCAGCACTTTGGGAGGTTGAGGTGGGCAAATCACCTGAGACCAGGAGTTCATGACCAGCCTGGCCAACATGGTGAAACCTCATCTATCCTAAAAACACACAAATTAGCTGAGTGTGGTGGCGCATGCTTGTAGTCCCAGCTACTAGGGAGACTGAGGCAGGAGAATCGCTTGGGCCTGAGAGGCAGAGGTTGTAGTGATCAGAGATTGCATCACTGCACTCCAGCCTGGGCAACAGAGTGAGACTATATCTCCAAAAAAAATATATTAGGAGAAAATGCTCTCTATGGTGATAAGACTACTTAAAATTACTATTAAAAATAACAACATAAGCTAGGTACGTGGCTAATGCCTGTAATCCCATGCACTTTGGGAGGCTGAGGTGGACAGGAGTTCGAGACCAGGCTGGCCAACATGGTGAAACTCCATCTTTACCAAAAAAAAAAAAATCAGCTGGTCATGGTGGCCGGCTCCTGTAATCCCAGGTACTTGGGAGACTGAAGCAGGAGAATCGCTTGAATCAGGGAGGCGGAGGTTGCACTGAGCCAAGATTACACCATTGCACTCTAGCCTGGGCAAGGGAACAAAACTGTCTCCAAAAACAAAAACAAAAACAAAACCACACACACAAAATAACAATGTAAGAGTTATCTGTATCTTAAAGAGGGCATAAAACTGATGTTTATGTATGGTTACATTCAGACCATAATTTGCTTTTGCGAGGGGCAATGTTGAAGCAGCGATGCTGTGTTTTTCTGTGTGCCTCAGCACATCATACAAATTTGTGCTAGTTCAGTTGACGTTAGTGATGCCTTTGGTATACCTATGTAACAGAACATGTAACCCAGAACTTACGTATAGTAAAATAAAAGAGCTCCCTGACAGATTTATTTTTCTTACTATAGAGTTATTTTTCTCTTCTTTATTAAGTATCTTTATGCAGCTGATGTGCGTAAACCGTCACATTTAATCTGGAAGCTGCCCTTGTTTCTTAGGTTTCCTTTGTATATATTTGTCTTTGGAAAATAAAGGCTCTCATCTTTGTTTACAGGCCAGAAAATCTGGGAAAAACACAGGCTCTTCCACTTACTGGATGTTTGACAAAATATTCTTCTTGGGCCAAAAACATTGGCATTACTGGTGAGCTTGTTAAAAATTTGGAAACTCAAACTTTATTCCAGATCCTCTGGAAAGAAAATCTGCATAACAAGATCTCCAGTTTATTATTGTACACATTAAAATTTTAAAGCTAGCTTGTAACACAACATTTCTTTCTATCTGAAAAATATACACAGCTCATTCTGTATGATGTAAATATAGCACGCACAAATGTACATGTTTGTGTTTGTGTCATTAATTCTATACTTTATTATCTAGAAATGTATCATATATAAACTGCTCTTGTGGATCTTCTGCCACTCTTTTCTCAGAGTTGGAGAATACATTTGAGAATATTTCTGTTTTGAAAATTATTTTATTGGATAATTTTAGTCACTCCTATAAGTAAAAACCAGTTCTCTTTACTTTCCCATTCCACCTTGAGTCAAATTAAAAATTCTGTCCAGGGCAAGTTGGTAAATATGTTTGTGTGTGTGTGTGTTTTTCAGGGACCACTAACATTTAGGGATGTGGCCATAGAATTCTCTCTGGAGGAGTGGCAATGCCTGGACACTTCACAGCAGAATTTGTATAGGAATGTGATGTTAGATAACTACAGAAACCTGGTCTTCCTGGGTGAGGATAATTTTAATACATAATTTAAAGGTTTCATTTCTCCTTTCTGTAGAAGGTTTTTTTTGGAAATTTGTGCTTTGCATAAATAAGTTTTAGATCCCTGTTGCATAAATAAGTTTTAGATCCCTGTTTTCAAGAAAATCCTGGGGATTTGTTCATTTAGAAATGAATCTCTTCAAGATGTTTCATCTTGACCTGAACTTTCCTCATTCCTGAGCTACTCTGTATCCTTTGCTCTAGATTAATGATAATTCCAAAAATTTAGTGGCATAAAAGTTGCCTACACCTTAAAATCTAATTGCCACCACCAATGATGCAGTAGTACTGAGTAGTGAAATTAAGAACATACAAATTTAAAATATTTTCTAAATATTTAGAAATTTATGTTATTAGATATTTTGGGATTAGTTTACTAGAATAATTACATCCTCTTTACTGAGCACATTACTAGGTTGATAATGGGAGAATATGAGCAAGATTCATGTTACTCATTTTTAATAAAACAGGTATTGCTGTCTCCAAGCCAGACCTGATCATTTGTCTGGAGCAAGGAAAAGAGCCCTGCAATATGAAGAGACATGCGATGGTAGCCAAACCCCCAGGTAGGTGAGAGTGACAGTGAATATAACAGATGACACAGATGACAGGTCTAAAGGTCAAGGAGAAAGCCAGTTCTTAAAATGTGATTTGGGCCAGGCGCGGTGGCTCATATCTGTAATCTCAGCATTTTGGGAGGCGGGGGGGATCACGAGGTCAAGAGATTGAGAGCATTCTGACCAACATGGTGAAACCCTGTCTCTACTAAAAATGCAAAAATTAGTTGGGCATGGTGGCATGTGCCTGTAGTTCCAGCTACTCGGAAGGCTGAGGCAGGAAAATCACTTGAACCAGGGAAGTGGAGGTTGCAGTGAGCCAAGATTGTGCCACTGCACTCCAGCCTGGTGACAGAGTGAGACTCCATCTCAAAAAAAAAAAAAAAAAGATGTGATTTGGGAAACTGTGTTCAAAAGAAGTTGTTTCTGGGGAACTGGTTTTTTTTTTCTTTTGCTCTCACATAGGAGCATATTCTGTCTATGCTTTTAAATTCTCTAAGGATTCTACTTTCCCTTCAGTGATTTTTCCTTCAAGTTTATGGTGAAAGCTAAAGTCCTCTTCATGGCATATAGGAGACTGCACAATCTTACTGCTTTTCCATTGTTTTTGGGGACACACAGATATCTGCATAATTTTGAGAAACTGTTAAACTATTTTTCAAGTTCTCTTTTTGCATTGTGTCTGAAATATGTGGGAGTAGTTTCTATTACATTGGGCTTTTCTTAATTTTTCTGCACATAAAATCCTGTTTTTATTACTATGGCCTTGAAATATAGTTTGAAATTATGAAGTATGATGACCTTCTACTTTGTTCTTTTTCCTCAAGATTGCTTGGGCTATTAAAAGTTTTTTGTGGTTTCATGTAAATTTTAGGATTGTATTTTCCATTACGTAAATAAAATACCATTGCAATTTTGATAGGAAGTTTATTAAATCTGTAGGTCACTTTGGATAAATGACACTTTAACAGTATTTATTCTTTGAATCCATATATGTAAAATATTTTTAAGTTTATTTGTGTCTTAATTTTTTTCATTGATATATCTTTCATTGTGAAGATTTTTTAGGCTGGGTATGGCTGCTCACGTCTGTAATCTCAGCATATTGGGAGGCTGAGGCGGGTGGATCACTTGAGGTCAGGAGTTCGAGATTGGTCTTGCCAACAAGGCAAAACCCCGTCTTTACTAAAAATACAAAAAATAAGCTGGACATGGTGGTGTGTACCAGCTACTTGGGAGGCTGAGGAAGGACAATCACCTGAACCTGGGAGGTGGAGGTTGCAGTGAGCTGAGATCACCCCACTGCACTTCAGCCTGGGCAACAGAGCAAAACTGTCAAAAAAGATTTTTTACCAGCTTGGTTAAATTTCTTCTCAGAAATTTATGATTTAATGCTAATGTAAATAAGATTATTTTCTTCCTCTATTTTACCAGATAGTTTAAGTGTATGAAACCATAACATATGTTAATTTTACATTTTGCTAATTTACTCAGTGTATTTATTAGTTTAAACAGGTTTTCATGTACTAGTTGTGGTTTTTAAAAGATAAGATCATATGATTTACAACAGCAACAGCAACTTTTTACTTATTTGTCCTCAATTTCAATGGCTATTTTTCTTTCTTTTTTTTTTTTTGTTTTTGTTTTTGGAGATGGCGTCTGCTCTGTTGCCCAGGCTGGAGTGCAGTGCTGCGATCTAGGCTCACTGCAAGCTCCGCCTCCCGGGTTCATGCCATTCTCCTGCCTCAGCTTCCCGAGTAGCTGGGACTACAGGCGCCCGCCACCACGCCCGGCTAGTTTTTGCTATTTTTAGTAGAGACAGGGTTTCACCATGTTAGCCAGAATGGTCTCTATCTTGTGATCCACCCGCCTCGGCCTCCCAAAGTGCTGGGATTATAGGTGTGAGCCACCACGCCCAGCCTCTTTTTTTTTTGAACTAATTCTTCTAATACATACTTCCAGTGCTATGTTAAAATAGAAGCAATTGACAGTGGCACAATATAGTTTTGCATTGGTGTCTGTGAATTTGAAAGAAACAAACACCTCTTTAAGTTTTTATAACCTGGTTTCAGGGGGTAAAGATCTCTTTATGTTGGCCCCCAGAGTGATGGGTTGCCCTCTGGGTTTGTAGTGGAGAGGTAGCTTGCTCACAAGGATGCTGGGTCTGCTCTAGGGTCCACCTTTAGTTGGCTGTTACAAGGAGCTTGGGTAGTTGTAATTCCCATTATATTTTTGGACAGACTGAATCTTTCAGGACTTTGCTTTGTGGAGAATACACCAGGGCAGGTTTTTGCAGTTGGGTCTATATATGGTGGGCCTTTTATTAGGATATGGATGAGTCTGGATTTCACTGAGTACCAGAGAGGATTTTCCCAGGTCACTGTGTGGATTTCTATGTAGGCAGAACTGGCCATGAGCTGTAGCTCAAGGGAGCTGGAACTGAGTCATTGAACTGCTTCAGGGACCATAGTAAAACCCAAGGTCTGCAGGCCTGTCCACATGGCTTTAAATGTGTGTCTTCCTCCAAGCCTCTGGAAGGGCAGGCCCTCTCCCAGACTGTGGCTGGGAGGAGTTTGGGATCATTACAGAGTAAGTTCAGAATTCGCAGTGAGACCAAGTTGGGTGGGCCATTTCATGGTCTGCAGCCAAGAACAGGGGTCCTGTAGTTTGCCTCCTGAATGAGGGCCTGCCTCCTGGAAAAAACACTCCTCAATCTTGGACTTTAGCAGAGTTTCATAACTTCCTCCCTGGATCTCAAAGATTCTTTAAAGGAGTTTATTTTGAAGATGGAGTATTGCTACATAACCCAGGCTGGTCTTAAAATTCCTGCCTGAAGTGATTCTCCAACCTTAATGTACCATGTAGCTGTCCTTACAGGTGTGAGCCATGATGCCTGATTCTCCCATAGAGGCATTTTTGTCAGGGATGGCTGACAAATTTTCTTGTTGTGAGGGGATAAACCAATAGGGCATCTTTTATTTTTGCATCTTACTGATATCACTCTCCCTGTATAGTTTACTTTCTATGTGCTAGTTCAAATTTTTCTGTTATTTTATTTTATTTTATTTTTCTTTGAGGTAGAATTTTTAGCTCTTGTGTCCCAGGCTGGAGTGCAATGCCATGATCTCAGCTCACTGCAACCTCCACTTCCTGGGTTTAAGCGATTCTCCTGCCTCAGCCTCCTGAGTAGCTGGGATTCAGGCACCTGCCACCATGCCCAGTGTACTTTTAGTAGAGACGAGGTTTCACCACGTTGGTCAGGCTGGTCTCGAACTCCTGACCTTGTGATCCGCCTGCCTTGGCCTCCCAAAGTGCTGGGATTACAGGTGTGAGCCACCACGCCTGGCTGATAAATTCTTTTTTAATGGTACATCAATGTTGCATACCATAGTTTACGAGTAAACATTTTCTATTATTGTTGCCATTCCAGATTAGTGTTATTTTATTGTAGGTTTCTTAACATCAGTGTATTGTGTTTTTTGTTTTTTACTTACATATAATTTTAGACAATTTGCAATTCTGTTTGTATACTTTAAGACAATGTGAGGTTTAATTGAGATAAATTAGTCATGTCTATCACAATCAGATTATATATATGTGTGTTATTGTCTATAAATATGACCTCAATTTTGGTCATGGCTTATCTTGTATATATTCTTTCTTAGATGATTTTCAATGGTTGTTTCATCTAAGTGAGTAGTCATGGAAATAGTCTTCTTTTCACCATATGTTTTTAACAATGTATATTTTTGTTGTTGTTGTTGTTTGGTGTTTTTTTTTTTTTTTTGAGATAGAGTCTCACTTTGTCACCCAGGCTGGAGTGCAGTGGCGCAATCTCGGCTCACTGCAAGCTCTGCCTCCCGGATTCACGCCATTCTCCTGCCTCAGCTTCCGGAGTAGCTGGGACTACAGGCACCCACCACCACACTCAGCTAATTTTTTTGTATTTTTAGTAGAGACGAGGTTTCACTGTGTTAGCCAGGATGGTCTTGATCTCCTGACCTCGTGATCTGCCACCTTGGCCTCCCAAAGTGCTGGGATTACAGGTGTGAGACACTGCACCTGGCCTGAATATATGTTTTCCTTATATAAGGAAAACACTTTTGTTATTTGAAGGTAATTTTTGGAAAGATTTATAATTGTGTATTTTTTCAGTTTTTCTTTTAAAAAACTAATTCTTGTAAAAACACATAACATAAAATTTGCTATCTTAAATCTATTTAAGTGTATGTTTCAGGGCCAGGTATGGTGGGGGCTCACATCTGTAATCCCAGGATTTTGAAAGGCCAAAACAGAAAGATCACTTGAACCCAAATGTTTGAGACCACCCTGGGCAACCTATGAAACCCTCTCTACAAATAATTTTTAATAATAGTCAGGCATGGTGGTGTGCACCTATGGTCCCAGCTACTAGAGAGATTGAGAGGGGAGGATAACTTGAGCCTTAGAGTTTGATGTTGCATTGAGCCAAAATTGTGTACTCCAACTTGGATGACAGAGTGAGACCCTGTCGCAAAAAAGAATTTTTAAAAAGCTGTACATTTCAGACATGTAAAGTATATTCACATTGTTATGTTAAAAACTTCTAGAAATTTTATATTTTGTAAAACTGAAACTCAATACCCATTAAGTAACAACTGTTCATTTTACTCTCTTTGGCCCTTGACAAACACCCTTCAACTTCCTGTTTTGATCAGTGTGACTACTATCTCATATAAGTGGAATCATATAGTATCCATCATTTTGTCACTGGCTTATTTCAGGAGACAATATTCTCAAAGTTTATCTTAAAATGTGACACGATTTTCTTTTCAAGGCTCAGTAATATTCCACTGTATGTATATGTTACATTTTTTGATATCTTCAAGGAACATCTGGGTTGCTTCAGCCTTTTGGGTTTTGTGAATAGTGGTACAACAAACATGAAAGTTCAGATATGTCTTTCAGGTCCTGTGTTGCATGTTTTGGATACAGATTCATAAATGGGATTATTGTATTTGATGATTATT